TCTCTCTCTCTCTCTCTTCCCCTTCCCTCCTTCCTCCTTTGCGCCCCCCCCCTCATCAACGACTTTTTCACCTCCCCATGGACAAACCAACCAATCCAGCATCCCTACTCTATACTAGAAAGAAGGAAAGAAAGAAAAGTAGAAGGAAGAGGTGGTGGTGGTGGCGGATGGGGTGGGGGGGTTCCCGTACGCTTGTTTGTTAAGAGAAAAAGGTAAAAGGAAAGTAAATAATAATAATAATAAAATACACAACATAAAGTTACTGTAACCTACCGTGCATACATACATAAAGCGCAGTGCATACATAGCCATCTCGCAGCACAGCACCAATATCAAAGCCACCGCAACCTCCCTTCCCTTCCCTTCCCTCCCTCCCTTCCTCCCTCCCATCCATCCATCCATCCATCCATCCATCCATCCTCCTCCTAACCAACCAACCAAAGATAAATAATAAAAAAACACACAACCACAACCACCCGGTTGCTCTGGTTTTCCCCGACTCCCAAAAACGGATATTTACTGACTCGAACGCGTCGACCAACCGCAAACGCTACATATATATAAAAGATATAAAAAAAATTTAAAAAAAAAGTCATGCCACAACCATCGTCATCAAGGAACACCCGTCAATCCCTCGCCCCCTCGACCGCAAAAGCACGACAACTCTCCCACCTGAACTCGCAATTGGCCCAGTTACAGGCTCACCTCGCGGACCTTCAGGACATCATGCGCGTTACGGCGGTGCAGGCAGAGAATATAAAGTCTCTCGGAGGACTTAATGGGGCTTTGTAAGCCTTTCCCTTTTTTTTCTTTTCTTTTTCTTTCACTTTTCCCTTTTCTTTTTTTTACCCTTTTTCTTTTCTTTTTCCTTTTTCCCATTTCCACCCCCCCCCCCCCTCTCCCTCACCTCACCTCACCTTACCTCACCTCGATCACCCAATTCACCCTTACTTCACTTCACTTCCCTTTCTTTCCTTCAGCTCTTCATTTTTTATTTTTCCCATTTTTATTTTACTCTGTCATTTTATGGCTTTCTTGGGGGGAGGGGGAGGGGGGGGGTTTCTTTCTTCTCATGCCATGCGCTGCGTTGGACTGAACTGGACTGACTGTTGCTGTGACGGGTGGTGGTGGTGGTGGTGGGGGTGGGTTAGATTGATGGCTGCAGGGAAGGTGCTCGGTGAACCATTTGATCCTAATACCGGTACTGGCGGGGAATGATGGTTATTGTGATTGAACGGTGATGATGATGATGATGATGATGGTGGTGGTGGTGGTGGTGGTGGCGGTGGTTGGCAGTGTGGAAGGGGGACCGTTATTGTACAGGTACATTTATTTTGTGCGTTCGCTTTACTGGTACTTTTTCATTTATTTATTCATCTATTCTTTTTATCTCCTTCTATATTATTACTCGGGGAAAGGAACGGGAAGCCCGTAATGAATGAATGGATGGATGGATGGATGGAACGAATGAATGATTTCTCCCCTTCTTGCTTTTCTTTTCTAATAACTGTTGCTACCGCCTTCCGCTACCAATATCACTTACACGTGGGGTCCTGGGGAAAAGAGTGAGAGAATGTGTGAGAGAAAAAAGAAAGGAAGAGAACGGAAGAAAAAGAAAAGAAAAAAAAAAGAGCAGAACTTTGGAAACGGTCCACATCAGTGAAAAAAAGTAATTTAACGAGCGAAACGTAGATCGCAAGTGTTGGGAATCGGGGGCGACAACGAGAGTAAAGAAGAGTGAAGGGGGGATAAACAGGGAATTTATCGCATCATATTCATAAAATCATGGCATTCCCTCGAGCAATACTACAAGTAGCGAGTACAAGTTAACCTATATGCGAGAAGAGGACGGGAAACAGCGCATCTCCTTCCCTCCCGAGAAAAATCCCCCCAAAATACCACCGTTCTATTTAAGGGGAGAACAGATGAGACAAAAAGACATCAAAGGAATAGAGCCTTCATGAAATATATAGAAACCACCACCATTGCCAAGAGAGAACAATCCAGATGAGCCAATCAAGAGGAGCAACCCAGTAAGGCCAAGTAACGAGGAAGAAAACAAATATACACTCAAAACCCCCGTGAAAGACCACACACACACGCACACACACACACATCCCCAGCCAGCCAACTACTCCAAACAAGCACAATTAACTACAGTGGTACAAAAGTAAATCGGAATCCAGCCCCGTTATTCGCTTACTCAGGGAGTGAAAACCCAACCGAAAGAAAAAAAATCTCTCCACCTAAAAGCGTCCTCTACGCCGCACAAAGGAAATTGGAAAAACACCCGTGCACAAGATATAAGAAATAAACCAGTCATTAAAACCGCCAGATTAAAGGGACATTGTGAGCCATTCCCATTCATGGGTGCCTGAGCCACTGGTGGTTGGGGTAGTGACCGCAGGAGCTATTGGGGTATGATGGGTGGTGTTCTGGAGAATTGAGGACGCGGACTGCAGGCTCGGCGGTATCAACTTGTCTCTCTTTTTGCTTCCATTAGGTGATTCATCCATTGCATCACCATCTTCATTACCTTGAAACTGGTTGTGAACCTTAGAATCCCTTCGTTGTCGCTTGGGCGCCGCAACAAGTGGCCGTGAGGATGTACTCTGTAAACTGTTCTTAGGCGGCGCTGCTGCGATCGGTATAACGCTTGACTTACTGCCTTGCCCAGAGGTGCCCATCGTTTGAATATTTGTCGGAGTGCTAACATTGGAGCCATTGGATAACCCAGATGGAGGTGATTCGGACCCGGCAAGGCTCTTGGATTGAGTTGAAATGGGTGTTGTCACTGGGGTCTGTACTAGAGAATTTTTTCGTCCAGTCTTTTTCGAAGACCGGGTTGATGCACTTCCCCCTACAGGTAATGAGCTGCCACTGCCGCGATTGCGCTTTTTAATAACATCCGTCTTCAAGGATAGCGGGCGTACAACACCGTGTAACTTGAGGAATAGCCCACACGCATTACAAAGTGGGTGTCCTTCAGGATTCCTCCTCCACAAGGGCGTAGTCTGAGTGAAGCAATTTGTGCAAGTAGTCGGCAAAGCATTTGCACCGCCTGCGGCTCCATTTTTTTGGCCATCCGGCGTGGCGGGTCGGGACGGTTCCGTGGAACTAAACCCGGATTCCGGTGGTGTATTCGGGCTTGACTGGGCTCTTTGGCCCATGGATGATAATGCTAATTGAGGGGCGTTCGGTGTCGAACTCGTGCGAGCAATCTTCTGTCTTCGGGCTCCGTTCGGATCCTGCACCCGGTTCCGCATGTCGCTCACCGAAGCAGTGATTGAATGCGACCGGCTATGATTCCCACTGCTAATGCTCCACTCCTGGGGGGAAGGGGCAGTCTCGGTTCCTCCAATCCTTACGGTCTTCTGTCCCCCGGGGAATCGCCCATTGGCATACTGAGGATTTTGTCCTGGCGCGCCGCTTCGCCCCCACTCTCCCCCGAACAGCTGCACACCCGAGTGCATATCCATGGAGTGATCGTCCATGGAACCTAAATCTGTCTGAATTTGCATCCGGTCGAATTCATTACCCTCGTCCTCGTAGTCTGAATCAGCTCCAAAAGAAAAGATATTTTCATTTCTGGCCCCAGCGGATCCGGGAGACTTCGCGAGGCTGAAATCCGCCCTCAAAACTTGCGATGGGTTCACATGCTGAAATCCACCATACCCTCTAGGTGACGGGAATCCTGAGTGTGGAGCCGAAGGGTTGGTACTAAGAACTGGATCGTGATAATAGTAGTCACTGGAAGCAAGGCTGCTGGGTAAAGTGCTACTACGAGAGCTTTGTCCGAAGCCAGGTATGGGCCGGCCTTGCGCCCGGTTTTCCAGGTTAATTTGGTCGAAGAAATTGCTGCCATGGCTTTCGGTGAGGGGGTGAGGGGTGGATACAACTGAATGATTGGCTGAAGCTGGTGGTGAATAAAAATCATTCGAGGTTACAGAGGATGCAATCGCTGTACTATTGTACACACTCGTCGAGAAGGGGCCGTTTGTGAGAAGTGGCGAGTGCACCGGAGAGAAGGTAAAGTTGTTCTGATAGGGCCCGGCAGAGGTGAGGTACTCATTGGAATCGACAGAGGTGTCGAGCGAGAATGGATGAGACTGAGATTGGGAAAGGGAGAACGAGTTGCCGTCATGGTCCAGGCGATAATCCCCAAGCTCAGTATCCGGGTCAGGATCGTTGGGGATCATTATACCGGTGACAGGAGGAACATGTGGGGAGAAGTCAGCGGGCCGCTTTGGTGGCTACGGGAGGGAAGAAAAGTTCAGTCAGTCAGTGTCCTTATATACTCTTAAAGGGTAACCCCCTTACCCGACGTTCATCCACACTGGTTTTTCGTACCCTACGTTGAACATAGTCAAATTCTCCACGGTTAGTATCAAAGCGACGTTGGGGAGCCGAGGCTGGTGGCAGGTGGGCGTTAATCATCAGTTCCTTCTCACGGCTTCCTTTTATTGGGATCGCAGAAGCTGTAGCATGAGAGGAAGTGAGAAGGTTGTCACTGCCTGGAGAATGTGCGATGCCACAACTCGATACTCCTCCGGGGGAGCCAACCATAGATGAAGGCGAGGTAAAGGTCAGATCCTCCATAAACATGGAGTCGGACTCTGATAGGGTGCTGTGCTGTGCACTGGCGGATGAAGGAGGTTTGCTATTTGTTGTTGGCCGAGCTGCGGCAGATATTCCCCCCATTTTGCCGTATGATGCGTCTTTCGCCGCCCTGCTTTGACCACATCAGACTTGAATTCAATGATGCAATGCAGTGAAACATAATCCGTGACGGCCAAAAACTTACCGGGCTTGCATCTGTTCCTTTCGCAATGTCATTGCCATCATTCTCCAGGTCAAATTTTCCATACGCTCCGCGTTTGGGAGCACGTTCTTTTGCTTGCTATACAATTTCCATACTTGAGTTGCCAGGGGATCCTTTTTTTGCATATCCTCCGGAGACTCTTCGGGTATCTTGTGGACACCGCCGAGGCGCTCGAAGGAGCCGGTAAGAAGCTCCTTCCGAGCAAGAGACTGCGCTGTATAAAGGTCCAGATTGACTGCTGTATTGTCGGCGGACTTTTCCTGAGACGAACCCGCTTTTGATGTGGAATCCGAGTTGTTTTGTGGAGAGGTTATCGACTGTTGTCGGCGAGAATGCGGAGAAGCTGTGGAACTGGCGGCCGAAGCAGCAAAACCAACCTGGCGCGAATTCGAATGCAACAAATGCTCACCAGCGGCACTCACGCTGACTCCCCCACGTTCATTGAAAACCATGTTCACCCACGGAATACGCAAAGAGATGGGGTAGCCCCAGAAATTTGCTTTGTTTTTTTCCTTCCTTCTTTTCTTTTCCTTTCTTTTCTTTTTTTACTTTCCTTTTTCCCTTATGGTAGGAGGGGCAGGTAGAAAGGGAGTGGTTGTGGAAATGGGGAGATGGAAAGGCAACAATATGTGACGCAGGCGGTGTCACGAAACAGAAAGCCCGACGCTGACCGCTGGAAGAAGTTTTGCGGGATGGCCGCAGTTGAGGTGTGGTGGGGGGGGGGGGGACTGTGTGTGGTGTAGGGGACGAATGAAGAAGAGTTCTGAGTACCCTGTCTGCTCCCACCCTGCTACCGCGATCTGCCTGGAGAGTACGAGTAGAGGGAGAGGGAGAGAGAGAAAGAGAAAGAGGTCAAGGTATGAATCTTGCGCACTTCTAAAAGATGCAAGTCTGGCCGTCGCAAGATGCACCGAGACGACTGTGTACAACCGAAGCAATCAAGAGAGAACCTAGCAGCCGAGCAAAAAAAAAAAGAGAAAGGGTGGTGGTGTGCGTATGGATTTGGACCGAGGGTTATGAAGCAGGGTAGAGAGTATGGTGCTTGAGGGTGGTGCCAATATCAGACCCCCGCGGCGGCGGTTCTGACCCAAAGCAAACCGCCTTTCCGCGGCTTCGTTTTCTGAATTTCTTATTTATTTTACACTCCTGCCGAACCAAACGTCAATTACCGCATTAAAGGGCTGTCGCCGAAGGGATAGAAGGTTAGTCTAATGAGTCGATAACACGCTGCCTATGGTACCCGTTTCTTTATTGCTTGTCCGTCGGTTGCAGCTGTTACCCTCGCGAGATAAGCGACCGTAAATAGATGACCAAGTCGCAGGGAGGCAGGGCGCGGGGGTCACCATACGCACACATGCAATTTTTTGGGGGGAGAATTCTGGCCACAGAAAGCCTTAAAAGAGTAAGTATGGCTGAAATATAGGACTAGATTTTCAAGGCAACGATATTAAAAAAATAAAATTCAAAAACAACCAAACAAAAGGGAAAAGAAAAGAAAAAGAGGACCCTTCCTCAACAATAACCAGGAAGGCAGGAACCCACCGACTGGGATGGTATGAGAAAGAAAGAGGGAGGGGTGGGATTGTTGAATTGTAAGGGCAAAGAAGGCGTGAAAGAAATATTCTAAAGCAGCAGAATACAGGATGGTTTCGAGGCTTGCAGGACATGGGAAGCCTACCCAGAAAGCCGGAAGGAGGAAACAATGTCTCTAATCGACGAGGAGGGGGGGGGGGGTGGCCGACAAACCGGACTGAGGTTGAAGTTGGGCTCGGCCTCGAGCAGTGCTGCAGTGACGAATCTCTCTAGGTGTGGAAGGGGGGGAGGGAGGAGACTCTCACAGACAACCCCCGCTTGTCTTACCGTCGACGGGTTTGCCGCAAATTGAACCCTTGGGAACAGCGGAACCTACCACTCCCCTCAAATGTCCCGGTCCAAGAAAAAGTCAAGACCCGGATTTCAGAAACTCTCAAGCCGAGCCTGTACAGCGGGGCAGAATTCAACGTTTATTTTGGTCGAGTGTAGGGAGAGGAGGGGGGGGGGTAAGGAGGAAATAATCGTGAACTCTGATGTTGATGAACAGTAGAAAGAAAGGGTCGGGGGTAGACGACGGTCAATTCGGTTGTTGTCCAGGTGTGGTGGGTGCTGTTGGCGTGCGATCACAAGCCAAAAAAGGGAGGGGAGGGGAAAGATGGAACCTCTGAGCGAGAGTGGAGAGAGGCACGCAAAATTTCCTTAACAAAATAAGTGAAAAAGCTAATTATCGACAGCTCTAACTCTGGCTGTGGACGGACTGCCACATCTAGAAGCGAGTCCACTACCCGACAGACGGCTAGCCACACATATCTGCAAGCCCGTGGTAAAAATCCGAAAGCCACTGCTCAGAGCTCCAGAGTGGTCCAGTGTCACTACGGACACAACGGACACACTTACTCGAGTACACTATTTACCCCCCCCCACCAACATAATTCGGCAAGTGTTGTGCTGTGTCCTTTCCCAGTCGAATTGGAAAAGGCCTGCTACACTCTGCATCGTCTCTGCACGGTTCAACAACAATTATCATACACCTTCCCTTCCTCCACCACTCTGCTCCACGACCATCCACCCCCTCCCCTCTGCCCATTTCCATTTTTTCTCTCTACTTTTTACTCGAAGCGAGAGTGTTGAGCTCATATTTTATTCGCACTAAGCGGGAATACGGAGCACTCGAGTATCGGGTTACTGACCGTTGGAGCGGCAGCGCATGGAAGAACAGGAATCGTTGCAACGAGCGAGCCAGCAAACGTCCTCACTACCGGTATGCCCCAGTACCGTACCTGTAGGCTGTAGCTCGCCTGCGACAGAAATATGTGGCTCGCAATGACGACGCCACGCTTGATCCGAACTCCGACAATGAGCTTCCTTTGTTGCGACGGAGGGAATCATTGACAGAGACAAGCACCCGTTAACACCCGTGAAAAAGCAGCTTCGCCAACACCATCGGCCTCATCATCGGATTCGCCCCGGGTTTCTGCGTAGCGACATGTACAGTAGGCGCAAAAAATCCTACCTTCCAACATGATTCAAAATTCTTCGAGAGAGACACAGCGTCGTCGAAAAGCAATGTTCGTATCGTCGGTCGGTGCCCTCCGTCTTTGATGCATCCCATTCCCAGCATTATTCTGGCCATTTCTCTCGCTTTTTTTCTTCTTTACCTGACTTGCGCCTCCACGTCTCTGTGTCTCCGTGCGAGGAACGCTCCCCGCTCAGTTAAACCCCCCACGTCTGTAATCCTTAAACGCAATTTCATAATTTGCCACACCCTTTTCTCCCAATATGGGGGGGGGGGCTCCGGCATTTTAACCGCCCCTTGTTGAAAATCCACTGCGTCCCTGTCGTCAGTGCCTGTCTGGGATAGCGTGGGGGAGCACCCTCAATCACGCGTTGGCTAAGTGCCAAGAGAGGAGTTGTGAGAACACCAAAAATGAAATCACAAAACCGACAATTATGGGTATAGAGCTGTGTAGACTTGAGCATTCCAGCCGGCATCAGTAGGAAGGAGCAAAATATCATATCTAGAATACGGCACTGTATGTTCCAAAAAGCAGGTAAGATGGGTAAATTTTCGTTTAGCTAACAGCCCTGGAACATTATTTCTGCAGATGACGTTTCGCGCAGAAAAGAATGTGTTCACCCAGCTACTGAGCTCTGCTTGGTCTCTCTTTTTTTCTTTTTCTCCCATACCTGGACTTTTCCGTAACAGCTCCTCACATGAAGCAAAGTGTCCTGCTGCAAAAGGACCCCAGGAAACACTGCTCCATCAGAAATTTAGCGGCATCCAATCTAGCGGGCGACTAGAGTACGGTATTGATACCCTAGGCTGCGGTCAAGATGTTCTCTGTTGCGAGCATGCTAGCGTCATGCAACTTAGTAGATGATGGAAAATTTCAGGCATGCCCGAGCCAAGTGGTTCAATTCTTAACCCGTTGCGATGTTTGTTCGCAATTGAGTCGGAAAAATACGGAGGGGTAAATAAGCCATAGTTCATCTCCTCCGGATGTGGATCCTACAATTGGAGGGAACTAGGCAGCAAAGGAAGGGAGGAAGAAGGCAAGCGGTATGGTTCGGAGCGATAGCACATGATGGCACTCGAGCTATTTCCTCCGAAAAGCCGGTCTTCTTAAGAATGCTGACGAGGGCGATCAACCGGCCCAAAGGAAATTTCCGACTCCCTCCAAAAGAACACCCTCCTCATCCTGAACAAGGCGGGGAAACTCGGGTGAACTATTTTCCCGGACTTCCAAGCCCGGAAGACGGATTTGCGTAAAGCCACCGAGAAAAGGCACCACTGTGGTGGATGGGAGAGTTCAAAGGTTGAAGACCATGCCGCGTCTGGGGAAGTATGGAGCATATAAAGCGTTGACTTGTTGCGGGCAAGCTTTAGACGAATGGCGCGAGGTTTGCCGGCGGCGAAAGTCGTTGGTCATAAGATCTGGTGGTGATTCGTGAAGCACGGGAGTTAAGGGTTGCTGCAGGCACCAAAATAAGCATAAAACAAGCTGTGGGTTAGGCGGGATGCACACGACGAGGTACCGTACCGCACATGAACGTACAATAGGATTGGTTCGAGTAGATATCTGGGCGACGGGTAGAGGAAGCGATGATGGAAGGGGACAGGAGAAGCTTATAAAAGGCACGAAACAAGAAGGGAAACCTGAAAAGAGGGTTATCGGGGGGTGGCCGTATCACTACTAAGAATCGTGACCCCGTCGGTAGGCAGTGTGAAGGGCAATTGCGCGAAGATAGGAAAAATAGAGGTGCAAGAGATCGATATCGGGTCTAAAATGAAGATTACCAGCAGGGCAACCAGTTAAAGGACAGTATCTAGTACGCGGGAGCAGTAAAGAAAAGGAAAAAGGGTCTCACATCGTTAGGATCCGCGAAAAAAGATGAGAAAGGGAAGGGAAAGGAAGGAGGGAAAACAGGCAAAAAGTAAGTTGTTTTTTTTTCTTTTATTCACTTATTTTTTTTGAAAAAAAAGGGGGGGGGGTGGGAAACTATCAATCAATCAATGCGAGAAAGAAGAGAGGAACACAAGTACGAAAGAATCGAGCACTTGTCTACCAGATTTTTTGTATCGCAGACGGATGAGACCGAGACGGCACCTCTTTTCTAGAGATTTGGTCGTGAGAGGAGAATTTTTCCTATCATGTGCACAGATATGCATTGTGTTGTATCGAGTCAAAGGTGTCAGTATCTGTCTGTAAGAGCTGAAAACCGTTGGCGGTGTTTTTCTCTTTATCGCAGCTGACATTTGCGAATCATATCTCTGGGGGTGATCTTTCTGTTTCTGAATTTGGAGGGTTTGGGGAAAGATAAGATGCAACAGTGTATCATATCATACCTTTCTAGGGGACAACCCTTGCCCCCCCCCCCCCGCGCGCAGGGAACAGAGAGGCATTGTAGATGCCATATTGAGCGACGTTTCCTAACTGCATCAATGACAATTGCTGGGGGGAGAACTCTGTGGCCACAGGCCCCACGACGACACAAGGCAGCAGAGATCGAAGGGTCCAATCCCGCCTCCTGCTTGGCCGACCTCTCGCGTTGGTAAGCTTTTATAGCCCTTGCGCTCTTTTATCTGCTTGCTTGCTTCACATCAAGGGTTTTGTCTGAACCGATTCGTTATTGTTTAACGGAGTGATAGCGGTGCACAATGATTCGATAGAGATTGTTACCGTATTTCTTTCCTATCTGATGTTTCCCGTGCGGTTTCAGGCCCTGAAATACCATAGGTACAGTGCAACAAACTCCCCAAATAGATCCAAATCCCAGCGCCTGTTAAGTACAATATGGTTGCGCAGAGAAATTGAAAGTTTTCATCCTGCCCCCCCTCCCCCCCCCCCCAATGAAAAGAGGAGGATGAAGGCTGTCGGGCTCGTGACTTCGGGCCCAAGGATATCTGACAAGAGACGAATAAGGAAAGCGGAGGGTGTTGGGAAAAAAAAAAAAAAGAACAGGAAAAAGAAATGATAAATTCCACGAAAAGGAAACGAAAACGCCAATTCTAGCCTTATCATACAGAATGAAGGTGAAGAAAAATCGAAATCCGTGAACTGTACTCCTCTTCCATATGTATCGCGACACTCCATATTCTGCCCCGGCGATAAAGTTTGTTTTCTTTTCTTTTTCTTTGGACAGGACGAAAAAAAAGGCAAAAAAAAAGGGTTAATAATTGATCGCCATTCCTTAAGCCAAGCCTTATACTAACAAATGAAACAAAAGTAATCAGGAAAAACCAAAAGCGATCAAAGAGTCAGGACTCCTGGAGTGAAATATACTGAGGAGAATGTGTGGGTATATGGGGCATTAGATTTTTTCCCGCAATGACGGCATAACTTGATAGTGGTATACGTGGGAACGGTAAAATAGATGTGTCCCAAATTTGAAAAAGAAAAAAAGCCTTCTGAGAATCCAATACGTAGGGGGTATACCAAAACTCGAAATGCGCAAGAAAAAAAGACAGGACCACGAAAGAAAGCAGTTCCCCCCGCAGAGACGTCCCGCTGGCCAGCGAGATCAAATGTTTTTTTTAGGAAGAAAGAAGTGTTGCTGTAGACGACAAGCGAGAAATAACGACTAACCCCTCGAGGTTTCCATACCAATTCGAAAAGATGCCGGATTTTTTTGATTTTTTTTGTAATGTTCTGTGCCCGTTTTTTTTTGCATTCCCGAAGAAGCGAGGGGGGGAAGGATGACAGTATGTGATAGCGATTTTGTAGTCTCCAGCAAAAACGAGATACCACTAATTACTACCCCCCCCCCCCACACACAATAGGGATCAAGACCCTATTCCTCATCCGATTTGACGATGGGCCCCGCATGCTGACCTGAGTGGGCGAGGTGGTGAAAATGGCCATTCATCGAGTATCCGTCCTCCGCAGAAAACAGATACCGAGCATCCATCACCACACCCTCCTCCTCCTTCACCATGCTCTCCGGGTCGAAATGGAATCCGCTCGACGTCTGGTCCACCCATTGAGTCATATCATAAGGTTGTCCATAATCCGGTTCTCCTGGAGCGCCGTACTGTGATGCCTCAGAAATGGATGCTGTCAGGGACGCTGTGGAGGCACTTGCCGAACACAAATCCGGTACGGCTCCGAAATCCACTGCCTCTGGCGAATGGGTAGTCGTATAACCAAAGACGCCCCCTATACCCTGATCAATGGACCCCATTCGGGATGGCCCCTGGGAATATATCCCACCATCATAGCTATCCAAAGATTCGGGTGCGGTAAGGGGAGTCATGCTGTGAAGAGAATGCTGCGGGCAGTGAGCCCCACAGACAGAAGGCGAATTCAACTGCCAATACATTCCTGACAGGTCCTCGAAACTACCATATTGATTTCTGAGGCACCGCATCTCTGGGTGGGGAGGCCTCACCCACCAAGGGGCATCCACAAATGCCTCTTCTGCCCCCGAATTCAAACGAGTCATGCTGGAACGACGGGATGCCGACGCGGACTGAGAAATTGGTATCCGAGGTGGGAGTTCCGGATCTCCATTTGGTCGATAATTATCCTCAATGTTCGATACCGGTTGTTCGGATGCAGGAGTTGCGGGGACCGATTCAGAAAACTCGCCGGGGTTCCGGTGCACCTGTCCCTGGCCAGATCCCGGAGATGGGGAGGATCCGACGGAACCACCATCATTATTATTGTCGCTCGGAGTCTTCGGCTTCTGCGGGGATTTAGGCCGCCGATCTGTATTCTCCACGGGGTAAAAGTTGCAATCCTTTTTTAAACGAATGCAGTTGGAGCAACGGCCGGCAGAACAACCGCTGGTAGAGTCGCTCGGAGCCATACAACGTATCTTCCGACGTCTGCAATGCCCTATACCAACGGAAACCGTTCACAATCAGCAATTGAGTTGGGCCGATGATCAGAACCATCACGCCTACACGTAGAACATACCACAAGCAACCGAAGTTCGATGGTAGCCAAGTTTGTTGCGTCGTTTATCAGTTGAATAGGGAATACCGCCGGTGCCATCCTGCCGCGGCATATTAGGAGAGGTAAACGAGCGTTTTGCCGGTGCCGGCATTTCTGTGATTTATGTAAGAGAGCGTGATTTGGGCGAACGGCCCTGTAGAAAACCGGGGTCAAAGTTTGGGGAGCTCGAGAGTTGAAATACTACAAGATGGGTTAGGGTTTGCGGGGGGCTTTTTTTTCTTTTTTTTTCTTTTCCCAGGCAGTGGCCTGTTGTGTAGAACCAACCTGTGGGGAGGGGAATAAAGAGAGAAAATGAACGAGGCGAGCGAGTGTGTGGGTGGAAGAGAGAAGAGTCTTTGGGAAGGGGGGGGGGGGGGTGGAGTCCCGATCTCCTTTTTCGTGGTGGTATTAAGAGAGATCTCACCTCGTCTCTGTCTGTCTGGCTGCCCGCAGCGCCCCAGCTACTTTTAAGACTCTGAGTGGTGGGTGCAACAGCAGCACGAGATGTGGCTATCTGATAACAAATTCCCCGTGGGCCCGGACGAGTATTCCTCGAGTGAATACCGTACTCGGCTCTTGCTACTTAGAGATGGTAGAGTAGCACTGCCTACTTCGGAGGAATAGTGTTAAAAAGAGTGTGGTGGACGTCGAGGGAAAAGCGTGGTCGGGTTGGTTGAGGAAACAGTCGCGGTCTCCGCAATGTACGAGTAGTCCTCTTCAGCAGTAGGGTAGTGCGAAACTTCAATCCTTCGACCTTTTGCACCTACTTGTACACGAAGTAACTCTAAAAGGACTAGCCACGACGAGGATGACTGTAGTGTTTGACTTTTTTCCTTCTTTTTTTTTCTTCCCTCTCCCTCCACCTCACAGGCACACAGACACACCCTCTCGACGTGGAGAGGGAAAGAGATCAAGCAAAGAGAAGAGAAAGTGAGGGAAAGAGTTTGTTTCCCAAGCAACTGACCCACCGGCAAATCCAAGAAGAGAT